GGGGGAGTAGGAAGGGGGACTGAACTCCTTGTTGGCGGGTGCTAAGGGTGCGCCGCCGTACCTTCAGCTGCCAGCCGAATACGGCAGCGCACCCTTACCACTCGATGTGAAGAGAAAAGAGAGAGAGAGGGCGTTCATGCTTTTCATGAACGGAACAATGAAAAACGGAAAAACGAGAGGGAAGAGAAAAGAGAGAGAGAGAGAGAGAGAGAAAGGAGAAAGAAACGGAGCAGGGCCGTGAAGTAACGAGAGAAAGAGAGACAAGAAAACAGAGTTGAAAGTACAAGTGATGTGAGTGTGGTCGACGTTGGGCAGGGTTCGTACTCGTGAGCTTTTTCTTCTCTCTATCCTCCCAAGAAAATGATTGGAAAGGATTATTACGTGATGTGAGTGCATTCGATGCTGATTGGGTTGGATGCTATGCATGCATCCACGCATGCATTTCATTGTCCTCTTTTTTTTTTCTTTGTTCTTAGGCTACCACGGGCGTTCATTATTTCATTTTTGTTTTCCATTTGAAAATCAAACCCTAGTACAAAACATTAAAAAAAAGAAAAAAAGAAAAAAAAAGAAAAAAGAAAAAAGACTTGTTAGATGCGGCGTTGATTAATTACAGTAATTAGTTCCCAGCTTTGCCTTGCGACTTACAAAAAGTTCGAATTAATCAACCGCCGCATCTACATACGTACGACTGCTATATACATGCAAGTAACATAATCGAAATTAAAAAAAAAAAAAAAAACAGACAGTAATGCTATCATAAGAAACGTAGATAACATTTCATGTCATGATAAAAATAAATCCCCAAAAAAAGAAAAAAAAAAAAAGGCAGAGGACCTCGCTCCACTACTCACCACATGCAGAAAAGACACAAAAAAATGTCGGTGTCATCTTTCCATGTTCTAACGGAAGATTCATTCTCAGGTTACACATTTGGTGAGTAGCGGAGCGAGGCCCAGTTTCATGCTATCTTCAGGTCAGGCCTAATAGGGCGGTATAAGCAACATGCATCCCCCCTTAATTGTGAGAGGTAGCTATGCTTGCAGGGGTCCCCTGTATAGGCTTACTAGGAGTAGAGGTAGGTAACTTGTACTAAGTAGACCATTATAGTGAAAGGTGAAATTGAGAGAAGAATATAGCTTAATTATTATAAATTTTAAATTTTAAAAAAAAAAAACACTTACCATTGCTGCTGACTGTGCAAGATTAGACAAATAGGGGTCGTCGTCACACAAGCACGCGCAAAAACACGCACGAACACTTCAGGGCCGTGAAGACGTGAATGAGACTCTATTCCTCCCAAGTCAGATACCTCCCCACCTCAGTCGTGGCGGCAACAGCAGAACCGACGCTGACTCGTAGAGCCAGCAGTGAATCAATGCTGACTCAGTCAACGCTGACTCGCTCAACTCTGCACCGAATCGGCATCCAATCCAATCCAATCAATATAATCTTAATCTCAATCTCAATCTAAAATCCAAATCTCAATCTAATCTAATCTGTTTCTGGGTTCGAACTTCCGTCTGACATTTCAACAGGGCGTGCGTGTACCAACTGAGCTGGACTCGTTGGGTGATCTGATCTAATAAGCCAATCGACTGGAAGCAAATTCCGTGGGTCGTTCATCAAATTCCATTCAGTGGCCGGCGAAATGTACTGGGCTTGTTTTGCCTCGACAAGCTGCGCGCGCCCCCCTCTCCATTCGCCACCCGCCGTCAGCGCGATTCTCGCAGACGCGGCAATTTACGCGCGCGTGAACGCAAATTACCCGCGCGGTGCGCGACGGTGCGCGGCAACACGCGCGCGCGGCAAAAGTTGGGACTAATTAGGTAGGGACCAATTAGGAATCATGAACGGCTGATTAACTGTGTGAATTCTGCTTGTGTACTCAATACACAGTAGACTGTCCACGGTATCCGAAACCCACCCCTCGGTCCTTTGGGTAGGGACCAATTAGGGACCAATAATGGGTTCAAACCCTGTCGAACCCAGTAGGGAGGCCCTGGCGTAACTGCTCTGAAACCGAACTGCCACCCACCTTTGGGTAGCTGCCTGAATGGTATACACGTACACGTGTAACGATTACCATTCAGGAATGACGTAGGGTACCTGACGACCTGCGCCTGTACGTGTACGGATGTACGGACGGACGAAACCACGTGTTCACGTATCGAACTGCGAAGAGGGAAGTCCGGTCGTCAGTCCAGCTCAAACCACGCGTTCGGCGACTACCCGTCTTCCCCCGAACATAACGCACCCTGAAAATGAACGTATACAAGGTATGTTTGCGGCCCCATACCGTCAAAATGAGGGTGAGTTGTGTTCGGGGGAAAAGGGTAGTGGCCCAGCTGAAACTGCTCTGAAAATCAAGCCAGCAGGTCCAGCACCCAGCTCATGGGGCTGAATGGTACACACATCGAACTGTTAGTAGCCTGGTCATGAGTTCGAACCGCGCAACTGGGAGAAGAATGAAGTACTAGGGGAATTTGTGTGGTGCCCCTCAAAGTTAGGTCCAGTTTCTGCAGTGCTCCCTCGAAGCTAGGAATCCGTCCCACGCCCTACTGTGCTTCGAAGTTTTGGGATGCCCCTGGACGACAGGGACCAGCTTTGAGCCATGCCCCAGCGGTGGTACTACCGGTAGAGACACCACCTAAATTCTGCCCATCACGCCTGCGGTTCAGGAGAAATTTGGACAGGCCCTACCTGGGGAATGGGAAAAGGTGCAAAGACCCAAAAGGCAAAGCTGGGTTTCCACAAATTCCAGCCCAACCCAGAGGGGCGTACCACACAGATCACAGCCCTAAGAGTTACGGAAAGGTGCGGTCCGGAGACTCTGTTCGCAGCCCCGGAGACTCTGTTCGCAGCCCTAAGGGCTGCGGTATGGTGCGATCAAGTGTTTGTTCGCCGCCATAAGGGGTGCGGTATGGTGGGGTCCGGCGTCTATCAAGGAGGCCGAATTTTGGCGGAGGACGACCACTGCAGAAGAGGGCGTATGGGGGTCCAAATTCTGTTATGACCGGTCCTTCCAGCGCTAGCGGAGGACTCACAGCCTTAAGGAGGCCCTACCGGTAGGTTAGCATTTCAAGGGACCGGTCTCATGTGTAAGTCCCACTCCTAGTGGCACTCGGATGGACAGTCCCGCAATTCGCAAGAGGAAACTTTTGCGATTTTTTGTGCTCAGAAGAATTCGATGAAAAAATCCAGAATCCGTAGGTTAGGTCATGGTCCTTACAAGAAAAAACATCACAAAAAATTTTAAAAATCACTAAGAATGCAAAATAATCACTGCCCCTCTTCGGAGCATTTTCCATTTTTGCCACTCAGCCATATGTGGGCCAACAGAAAAAGTACTTCAACTTCAGTGATTTTTCACGCTCAGAGGAATGCGTGAACAAATCGGAAACTTCGAGTGCTCGCAGATTTTTTTGTGATCTTCCCATGAAAAATATTATATATACATATATATATATATATATATATCGTATATATATATTTATATAATATCATTTCAACCACGTAATAGATTGCAGCGACAATTTGACCCATTTTCTATTTTTGGCATTCAACCTCTCTCTCTCTCTCTCTCTCTCTCTCTCTCTCTCTCTCTCTCTCTCTCTCTCTCTCTCTCTCTCTCTCTCTCTCTCACACACACACACACACACACACACAAAAAAAAAAAAAAAAAAAAAAAAACGAAGAAACATCCAGTGTCTCTGTCAAGGTGGCATATTTTCGACGGTGGGCTACCAGCTCATAAGTGGCCTCTTAGGGGTTAAAATTTTTCGGGGGATCGGTCCTTGGCGATATTGCGAACGACCAATCGTCAGATGGAAGCGGACACAAAAAAGGAGTAAGAAGGGAAGGCGTTGTCAGGATTCTCACGCGCAAGCAATTTACAAGAAGCAACTTTGTCGATTTTTTTAGCTTAAAAAAAATCACGAAAAAATCTGAAAATTTAAGAGTTCATAGATTAGGTTTGCGGTCTTTCCAATAAAAAAATATCATATATATATATTTTTTAAATCATTAAGACCGCATATTAATCCCCACGTCGATTTGGTGCATTTTCCATTTTTGCCACTCAGCCATGTGTGGGCCAACATAAAAAGTACCCCAACTTCAATGATTTTTTAAGCTAATGGAAATGCGTGAAAAAAACCTGCAAATTTTATTGTGATATTTTCCGAAAAATATTAAATAAATCTATAAAAATGATTTCCACCAAGAAATTGATCGTTGTGACAATTTAAGTCGTGTTCCATTTTTGCCATTCAACCTCTCTCTCTCACTCTTTCTTTTTTTGGTAGCCCCCCCTTTCCCTTCTCTCTCTCTCTTTCTCTAATATACATACATATATCATATATATATAGTAGTAAGGTAAATATTTTAATTTAATCATATAATATTATTTAAATAAAAATATAGTTATTTTAGTTATCAAAATAATTATGGGATAATTGTTTCGATCAGTGATTTTAAAGTATTGCATAAAAAAAAATAAATTTTGATGACATCAAAACCGATGAATTGACATCGATGATTGTTTATAATGCTAAATAAACTAACCTGCTTTTTATTATTATGTACAATACTTAAAGTTATATGAAAATAAATCATCAGTGCATTGTTTTTAAATAAATATGACCTTGTACAAAATAATCATAGATCAATCTTACATAATTCGATCATCATTAACCTCGATTAAAAAAAAACAAAAAGGTTAAGGTTAAACCACCAGTACCTTCGAGTTTGTTTTTGTTGACCCTAGATTTCAATGTGCACTGAAATCTGTCGAGTCTGGGTGTCATTGTATTTTATTTTCTGGTACTCTTTGGAAAAAAAAAAAAAAAACCCTACGGATGTGAAAGTAGTTGCATGCAGAATCTGAGGCATATGTGAGACAATGCCCTCCCAACGAGCAGTTATACCTCTGTTGTATCCATGGAATGAGCCAAAGAAAAAATATGTATAAAAAAAATAAAATCGTATACTTTTTGGACACGAAAGCATCTGGATACAAAATTTGGGGTACATACGACAGTCTGCCTTCCCCACGAGTGTTACTTCTAAAGTTGTATTCACGACGACAATAAAAATAAGAATCAGCTCTTTGGACATGAAAGCACTTGGATACATAATATAGAGTGCAAGTAAGACTTTGCCCTAAGTTACAAAGTTGTTAGCTATCCCTGTAATGCGCCCTACCTCGTTGGTAGGGCACGAAAAGAGGATGAAAAGGAAACGAAAAAACGAAGACAACCAATAATGAAAATTAACTATAGGTAGATGCGTTCCTTGGCGTACCACTGTGAGCAAAGCTCCTTCACGACATTTTTCAACTTCCTCCCTTTCGACACTGGTACTCCTTTCACTTTTTTTTTACAATCGGCCTCACAAATCCCAAAACTAAAGGCTTGCCAACCCCCCGTGGGGCTCTGAAAACTTCAAAAATTTTGGTGAAACTGCCAGTTTGCCCGAATTTCTTTTGCCTGGGGGAGGTACTAGTGGTTTAACCTTAAACAATAAAGTAATATTAAAAAAAAAACTCATCATTCTCTAGTAACTATTCCTTAATTAATTTGTCGATTTACAGTGGCTAAGGTTGTAAAACAAAAGATTACATATATTAATATATTTGTCCAACATCAGTTAAAAAAAAAAAAACCAATAAAAAATATTAAAAAAATATATATTATATATAATTATAAAAAGAAGAAGCGGACCCCGTAAGACGCTTCCTCTAAACCCAAGAAAAACGAGTTGCGCGCATCAGTTGGATGAGACACGTGTTGTGCCCAGTTTCGTATGTTTTTTTTTTTTTTTAACGGCCGGTATAGGTGCTGTTGGCGTAAATTATGAACGTTTTTTTTTATTGCCGCGGTTTTGCAGACTGAATCTATAAGTGTGGCAGTGTATATTTGCAAGTTATAGCAAAAGGTCATTCAATTTTGCTCATCCTATCGATGAAAGTAGTGTGAGGCCAACCGCGGGGTTGGAGACTTACCTGTTGGTCGATGCGTTGCTCATCCTATCGATGAAAAACTCTCTCTCTCTCTCTCTCTCTCTCTCTCTCTCTCGCACACACACACACACACAAACAAGTGTGGCAGTGTATATTTTCATATTATAGCAGTATATTCGTTCAATTTTGCTCATCCTATCAATGAAAGTAGCATGAGGCCAACCGCGAGGTTGGAGACTTACCTATTCTCTCTCTCTCTCACAAAAAAAAAATAAAAAAAAATGGCAATGTATATTCCCATGTTCTGGTTTAAGATTCATTCCGACGTTGCTCATCCGACATACACACACACACAGACCGACATTGCCATGCTTCACCAAATGAGCAAAATGGGATTGAATCTTCCTCTAGAACATGAAAGTATCCACTGCCACAATAGAAAGACTAGAGTTCGACCCCGCCAAGAGAACAAACATTTCGGGCATACTCAGAAGAAGGTTGCTTTGCCACCACATTTTGGATGGGATTGCAATTGTGGTTTATCTAGGTTCCAATATAAAGGTGATACCACATGGGTAAGTTGGTGCTATCTGGACTGGATGGCACCATGTTAGCTGTACGTGGGCGATATTCCCCCTTTGTGGCTGAATGGCACACCCATCAACTGTTGATAGCCAAACTAGAGCTTCATTCCTATTAGAACAACACTTGGGGCATACTCACAGAAAGGCATTTTCTCTACACCATTTTGGATGTGATTAGGGTCAGATTCATCCTCTACAACGTTTGGGATTGTAGTCAGATTCATTGAGGTCCGATTGTAATTGCAGTTAGATACCTTAAAGAAAGTACCACGCTTAGATCTTTGGTCCATTTTGGGATAACCTCAAATGGCCATGCTATATACTTGTATTTAAACATTCTGGAAAGGATGCATGCCACAAACCTCATGAACTGCAACATTAGGCCATAAGATGACAAAAACGAAACAAACGAACAACCAAAGTGCACCACAAAAGGGCAAAAGACAACAACGAAACGACGTCCACACTCATGTAACCGCTTTTATTATTTTCTGACGTATCTGACGCCAACGACGTCCAGAGTTGAAAAAACCCTGTTGTGAAAATGCCCTAAGTTCCACCGCCTAGGTGAAGATATGTACTTTTGTTCAA